TTAGCTGTAGAGGAGGAGGATAAGGAAGATGGGCACCAAATGGCCAGGTCTTAATAAATTAATGGGATATGTCAAGCAAGTTTCTGTTCAAGTACGTTCATGTGTACATAGCATTCCCTTAGTTTGTAAGGGTGTCTAAGAAGCTGTTTGCCATTTGCTGGAACTCAGTGTACCTCTGCAGTTCTTTCCTTGCATAAGTGTGGATGCCATCCTGGTACTTATGACTGCAGCTTTTACTCTTTCCAGCATGGCTTTTTACTCTACTTACTAAAAATCCTTGAAAATTGCCTTGTAGAATTTTTTGATGTCTGTGCATTGTAGGAGGCCTGTGAGGCTGTCCTACCATTTATTCCTTCTTCCATCTCTCTATTATAACATTGCTCAGGGATAGTAGCGTTATCAGTATTTCATCTGAAACAAAGTCCTAAAAGCAACGAAATTGCTTCAGTTTTTGAAAATCCCATCTCAATTTCAACCTTATAAGTTCACATTCATATTATTCAGCATTGTACTGTTCAAATTATTTGTGAATTACATAGCTTTTAAATTCCTTCACCTTTTAAAACTAGTGAGTTTTTAGGTACAACTTGCATTCCTTTGGTATGCAACACAGTAGATTACAGAAAATCCCATACAATTAATGTGAAACAAAGTAGAACTGACTTGGAGTTTGCAACCCACATCTTATGTAAAAGAATTCTGATTGATACTGGCAGTACAGTGATGGTGATGGTGGAAGGCAGTGAACTTCCTTCTTTTTTCCAATTGACATTAATTGGACTTGCTTCTAAACACCACATGACTGTTTCTGCTTTGAAGGCATAGATGTTTTACTGGCAGTAGGTATTTTAGCATTTAATACTATTTAAAATTAACTTTAGTTAGTATTCCGTTTTTTCTCCAGTAAGTTTTTTGTTAGTTACTCTTTTATATTCGTTCCTTGCTGTTCAAACACAGAACTCTATAAACAAATAATGTTTAGGAATTCTTTCTCATACAAAACTTGTTAAATGTCTGAACAGTTCCCTGCTTTTCTCCCACAGCTTTCTGTGATGCATGTTCTTATTTATTCTTTGGAAGAGAGTTATTTGCAGAGATTCCTTCCTTCATTCACCTCATATTTTGACATAGTAAACGTGAAGTAGTATGAAAAAGGCCTGTAAAAATAATGATGAAGAATTCTAGACATTACAAAAAACCCCAAAAATAACAAAAAAACCCCAAGAAACCAACCAAGCCCAAACTGTTCCTGTGAGTGCTGCTGCACCTTGGAAAGGCATGCTTTTGCTCCCAGAGGATGATGAGTCAGTCTGCTTAGGACTTTTTACAAGAACTGGCCTCCTGCCTGGCTACTTTGAAATGTCTCATTTGGCTCATCTGATTATCTCTGTTGCATTAAGGCCTGTGCAGTTTGTGAGTAGGTACGCAGGGAGGAACACACATGTAGCATCAGTACTACTGTAGTGGCACATCATCCCAATGTCTTTGTCTTTCAGCCAACTCCCAGGAGAGTTAGACACTTCTGTTGTTGAAAACAGCTGTTTTGGAGATTTATGGGAAGCACCCACATGCTTGCATGGTAGATGGAGGACCCATGGCTCCTTCAGTGCTGTGCTGGATGCTGGAATTGTTTGTGGCCTCTTGCTGGGGTCCATGCAGTTAAGAGCTGGAGAACAGTTCAGAGGAACTGAGATCCTATAATGAATTCAGAGCTTTTGTTCACTAAACCACAGCCAGATTCAAGACCTTCAATTTGTATAATGGAGGCTTGACTTCCCCTGTTTATCTTCTGCTCAGTTAGTAAGAATAGTTCAGTTTATTTTCCTGGATTGGGGTAAACTATGTCAGTTGTTTTGGGGAGGTGGGTGGGAAGTAAGGACAGGAAGAGAAGGTCAGCTGCTTTTAATACTGGAGTTTTTGTCCATGATCAGGGCATTCTAATTATACCCTGGATAAAATATCAAATTTCAAAGTCCTTCACACAAGGAAGGTTCACCACTTTTCAGCAGCATTAGCTACACATGCATCCTATAAACACATATATCAAATACATTTTGATTTTTATTAATATTGGGTAACTATGTTAGCTGATTACTCTGCTATTGTTTGATAATATCTTATCTGGAATACTGAAGAATTTGTCAGAGGTGTATCTTATATGGGAGTTCTCATAGCACTGGTATAATTTTGCAGCTTAAGTTGTTGTTGAGGGTTACAGTGAACCTTTTCTGACTTGTGTGTTTTGACTGACTTTTGGGCGACAGATAAGGATTTTAAGTAGCTGCATGAGGGTGGTGTGTCCGGCCTGAGAAATTACTTCAGAGGTTTTTCTTCCAGTAATTTAAAAAGCATAGCACGGGAAAATGCAAATGAGTAGAAGGTGTTCATTAACTTTATATTGAGGAGTTTCTTTCTTCTACCCCTTTTTCAGAAGAAAGTGCCTGCTGTGCTCTCTCTTTGTGATTAGTTTTTTATTAGGACTAAAATTGGTACTGTTACATAATTTTCTATGCCAGATAAGCAGTAATTAAATATTTCAGAAGTGTAACACAAGATGGTAAGAAAGCCATATGAAATGTTCTTAATTTTTTATTCCATCTGCTGTTATTACATGGTAGAAATCTTGTAATGTGGTTTTAAAATAGCGTACTTTCAATTATCTTATTTATGTGGTTTTGGAAGTACTGGATCAGGTATTAAAATGTCATGCCTGTTAGAAAAGTACTTCTGGGAGTTTTGTGGTGGGCACCAGAAAAAAGTTATTAGGATAATTGAAAAGAAAAAGTTGTCATATAATATTATTTCTGCTGAAAGGAAAACCAGTAGCATCTAGCTGCTTTTTTATCCCCATGTCTCTTTCGGCTTTCATTAAAGAGAGCAGTTTTAAGCTTTGAAAGACTCTGGAGACACACAGGCTATGTTTGAGAGTGTTTGTAATCTTCAAATAAATGCCAGATCAGTGAAATAAACCCCAAGTAATCCCAAGGAGAGAGTGCTTTCAGGTCTGAACTGGCATTTGCATACCCCCACCTGTATGGAAGGGGAAAACCTGCTGCTTGGATAAAGTTGTCTTTGACAGGATTTGGCCAGATGGAGCTTATTCCTGTGACTAAAGAAGAAATAATATATCTTAAGTTTCATGATTCTTTCTGTATTTTCTCCTATTTTCAATGAAATCTATTAATTTCCTGCTTTTGTGTTGCGAGGTGTGTCCAAAGGCAGACTGGTTCTCTTTCCAGCCGAGCCTGCAGGCAAGGCAGACTTGAGCAATATGCTCTAAGAAAAAGTGTGAATTTTCTCATATGTTTCAGTGAGCGTTAATGGGAAGACTAATTAGGACAACTTGAAGCCAAAATTACTGTGTTTCTCTTTGAGACAAATTATTGGAGACATCCATTAGCTGTACTTGGATATAAGTGGCATTCTAAGTTCAAATCTGCTTGAAGAGTTTAGAATTGGAAGTGAAGACGTTTAAATCTTAACTCAAAATTAATTATATTTAAATTAAATTTAGAAGAAGGAAAAATAAAAATCTACCACGTATTAATAAGTTTGTAATCTAATAAATGAAGGAGATAAGGTATTTTTAATTATTATTGGTTTTAATGTCAGTTTTAAAACCATGTATGTCTAATATTAAGTCAGTATTTTAGATGGAAAATGCTATATTAAATACTATAATATATTTTTTACTATTTTAAGTTTTACAGATATATATATATATACAGGATTTCTTTCACCTTTCTCTTGCAGATGTAATATTTCTACTCCTCGAAATCTGTATAGCCTAAAACATAGGTCAGTTCTTTTTGAATCCTAATACACCCTTATTTTCTTTGGATATGAAAAGGCCTGGGACAGCTGCCTTTGCTGGACTGACTTTGTGCTGTGTCAGATTCAGCTTCTGGGTAAGGTTCAGTACAAAGGTTAGTTTTCTTGGATGTTACAAAGCCAGCAGCCTCAAGCTGAGGAGTTACCTGTACAAGAGGAGAGGCATTTCTTTGTTCTGTGTATTTCCATCCTTGCTTTCCCTGAGGGTCTTTTCCTGAAGAAAAATATTGTAAGAAAAGTAACGAGAAAGAAGAGCCAAGAAATGCTGCAAATGAAAACAATTGGTCACCACCAGCTGTCTGTTCCCTGGGCAGCAGCCCCCCAAACCAGCCTTCCCCCAGTTTTATTGCTGAGCAGGGTGCTGTAGGATATAGAATATCCATTTGTTCAGCTGGGGTCAGCTCTTCCAGCTGCGTCCCCTCCCAGCTCCCTGTGTACCACCAGCCTCTTCATTGGTGGGGTGAGAAGCAGGAAAGGCCTTGATTATGTGTAAGGAGTGCTTAGCAGGCACCAAAATATCCCTAAATCACCAACACAGTCTCCAGAGCAAATCCAAAACATAGCCCCGTACCAGGTACTGTGGAGGAAATGAAGTCTTTCCAGCCAAACACAGCACAGGAAGCATATTTGGAAATTGGTGAGATCCAGAATGGATAACTCTGTCCAAGTGACCATTATTAAACTGGCTTGTCTACAGCACTGCCATTTTACCAAATGCATTTATTGAATTGTTCTGCCTTCAAAAAATGAGAAGAGAGGGGTGATGGAAGGAGAACGAGTCTTGGGGCTCCTGAGCACCTGTACTGTTAGTGATATAGAAGCTCCTTAGCACACGTGGGGTGGGGGAGAAATCCATCCTGCCACCTTAAAGCTGGCAATGGTTTCTTTGGCTCACAGGCTGAGAATTCTATCTGAAGCTTCTGTTGCCAATGCTTAGTGAGCTTTTATTTTTGTTATCATGACACCTGAGCAAAATAAACTTGAAAATCTCACACTTTAATTAGTTTCTATTCTCATGGTTTAGAATGAGCTAGAAGGCCCTATTTTGTCAAGAAACCTCCTTCCTTCTATTTTTGCATTTCACCTTGAATTTGATATTTTGTCCTATCTGAACTAGTGTTAATGAGCTCTGTGTTGCACTTATTTACGTGACAAATTTCTCTTCACAGATCATTCAACTTCAAGTGGTACATCATCATTTAAGCCCAGCCGATCACTGGTTTCTATTCCCACTGCCCATGTGATGCTGTCTGGTGCCAGCTCTTCACTTTCCAAACACAGGGAAGCTTTCAAGTCTGATGGCTCAAAATGGAGTACAAGCTTTGTACGGTCAGGAGGGGGCAGAAATCAGGGAGCTCTGGACAATTCTCTTGACATGAAAGATGCAAGACCTGTAAGAAAATGGTCCTCCTTGTCTAAACTCAGCTCACCAAATAATTTCAGCCAAGATGGAAGTAGTCATTCGGTGGAATACAGGGCTGGTACGGACAAAGCTGTGCCACCTCAATTAAGGACAAATGGGCCCAGTTGTTTGCATGACAGCATGGAGTTGCTAAAGATTGAGGACAAAGAAATGGGGAAAAAACGATCTTCTCTACTGGACTGCAAATACAAATTTGAAACGTGCAGCAAAGACGACTTTGTTTCGGATTCCCCAAGTAGGAGACACGCCTTAGACTTGACCTACAGTGCCTTACCTGAAAGCAAACCTGCGGCAGGCGGCTGCGAGGCTTTCGGGCAGAGATACGCGACCCTGGGACAGCAGGCTGTGAGCGGCGCTCCCATACAGCCGGCTGTGAGGACTCAGATGTGGCTCAAGGAGCAGCTGCGGGCAAATCCCCTGGACTGCAGGCCTGCCGAGGAGCCCTACGGTGTGCCTGCATGGCACATGCAGCAGCTTGAAGACTTCAGAGCGGCAGGTGACCAGCCCATGCAGGTAAGGCCAGAGCTTGGTGTTTGCTGCCATCATGTGGCATCCTGGGTTATACCTGAGGAGTAACAGGCAGTTTTTAATGAAACAGGAAGGGGAACAGGTCCTCCTGACCAGTATTTTAAGCTTTGGTTGGGGCTGTTGCTGCTTGTTTCTCAATATTCGTTGTTTGTTGGGTTTTCTTTTATTTCTGCTGTCTGCTTACAGTTTACTGTGATTCATTGTGCCTGACTGCATGGGACTAACGTCTTCATGTGAGGCTGGGCTCAGGAAGAGGTTCACCAAGTAGCCTTTTTAGTAGTTTTAGAGTAACTGTATAGTGGGGGAAATGTGAAGGTATTTTTATCTGAAAGGGATTACAGAGGCTGCATTTATGCATTCAGCAAAATAAGAATGACTTTTGTGTCGTGCAAGGGTGAATGAATATTCAATCTCCTTATGCCTAGCACTTAAAAATGGAGTTCGGTTTGATATTACTGCTTATTTTTTAACTAATAAAAATCAACTAACAGTAGCCAACAAATCTGGTTTATTTTAATAAGTATGTGTGGTTGATGTATCATACTTGGGATATTTTTATATCGAGATTATCAAGCACATAGTTTTAAGATATAGGCAACCCTTTCTAACATTGCAATTCACAGTCTTTGTTTCCAGCTCTTCCCCTAATGGGGAAGTACAGTTTGTGAAGGAAGGCAGTATTTAAAATCTACATGTTCATGTTTATGTGTGTAGTAAGTTTGGCTTGACTTGACAAAAAAAAATCCCAATTTACAATAAATTTCTCTGAAAGGCATTTTAGGGTTAGATTAGGATATTAGCTCAGCAGAGATAATCTAGCAGTATGTTCAGATTTCCTGTTTTCTTCAGCCTGAAGTACACAAATGTAATTTAGAAAGAGTTGTGCTCAAGTGTTGTTGCTCCTTTTGTTGTATATTGAAGGAAAGAATAACAAGTTTAGAGATTGTTAACGTCCAGTTTTGCTCTTAATGGTGGTCTGATTTTGGTTTTTGGTGGTGTTTTGAGTTATTGTTATGTTTTTATGGGGTTGGTTTTTGTTGGTTTTTTTTTCTTTTTTAACTGAAGAAAATTGAAGCCAATTAATATGGCCAAACGAATAGTAATCTCTAGGGGTTTGTCTAAAAACCTGACATTGTTACAGGTAGCCACCCTTTATTGCTGCAGAAGCCCTCATCTTTCTCTAAGCACTTCAAAGATTCTGATGCTGATAAATTCCCCAGGTAGGGAGCAGAGGCTGATGGGGTCCTCTCAGAACTGAAGTGACAGAGATGGGCTCAGTGCTGAGGCTGGGTCCAGGGCACTGCCAGCTGGACTCCGGGCAGCTGGCACCTGCTGGTGGCATTGAGGAGCACACAAAGGGTTTGGGAAGCAACAGCAGGGTACCATCAGGGAGCTTGGTCTATCCATTCATTCAAGTCTTCCCAAACACCTGAGATGGGTAGCTGGCTGCAGCTGCCAGTGGTGCTGTCTGTGAGATTTGTGATCAGGTTACTGTGCCTGGATTTAAATATACTGAATGACATAATGTTAAGGGTTGGAAGGGACCTTAAAGCTCATTTAATTCCACCCCCCTCTGCCATGGGCAGGGACACCACCCACTATACCAGGTGGCTCAAAGCCTTATCCAGCCTAGTCTTGGATACTGCCAAGGTTGGAGCATCCACAACTTCCCTGAGCAACCTGTTTCTGTGTCTTCCCACCCTCACAGTAAAAAATTTCTTCCTAATATCCAGCCTTGAATTTCCCCTTTTTCAATTTGTACCCGTTACTCCATATCCTATCACTGCAGTTCCTGTGAAGGAGCTCCAGCAGGCGCCCTTCAGATACTGCATGGTTGCTATGAGATTTCCACTCAACCTTCTCTTCTCCAGGCTGAACAGCCCCACCTTCCTCAGCCTGTTTTCACAGGAGAAGTGCTCCAGTCCTCTTACCAATTTTGTGACCTCCTTTGGCCTTGCTCCGACAGTTCCACATTCTTCTTTATGCTGGGGATACCAGACCTGTATGGAGTACTCCAGATGGTGTTTCACAAGTGTTATTTACTTATTTACTTTATTTAGGCATAGATCTCTTCATCATCTTATATGTGCCTTTAAAGGCGCTTTGTTTAGGATTGGTATTTTAGAAATTTTTTTTTGTTTAGATCAGAAGGACTCCCAGCTTTTGTCCTTCAGGTCTCAGAAGTGCTTTCTCCCTCTGATCATGTTTAAGTAGATATGAAGGCAAAGTTAAATGTTTGAAACAGATGAAGGCCTGTATGTGTTATTACAATTACTCAAAAGCTTTCGTCCATGCAGGCATTGCTACCAAGCTGTGTTTGGAGGACAGAGCCAGCAGGGGGAACACAAGCATTATTTATCTTTGGCTTCAGTTCACAAACAGTGCTGCACCTTTCCAGGTTTTTGAGATTTGATATTTTGCCTAAAACTGGATTGTTTTGTTTTGTGGGGTGTTTTTTGTGGGCGGTTGGTTGGTTGGTTGGTTTTTTGGGTTTTGTTGGGATTTTTTTGTTTTGGTTTTTTTTTACCTGTAACTTTTACATCTCTGTGGAGGAAATTCCTTATGCCCTTAGCAAGTGCTTCCATTGGCATGACCTGGAGTCATATTGCTGGGCCTTGAAATGGGATCTGTTTTATGTCCTCAAGTGAGATGTGGTTGTGAAGTAGGACCCAGTGAAGGTTAAAGTGTGTGCAAGAGCAGTGAGCCTTTGGGCTCTTAGAAACATCCCTTGCCCTCCTGTCTTTCTGACAGAGGTTACACCTGTAAGGAGGAGAGATGCCAGAAGCAATGAAAAAACAAGAATGATTCTTCCTGTTTTGACACCTGTTTTTTAAAGAAGCCTCAGCATCATTTTGCTGTGGCCTTTTTTTAGAGATCACATGTACCTGGGAACTGGTATTTTATTTCTGAGAAACCAAGAAAACTGCAGTCCCAAGTGAAATATATATCTAAGAGATAGAGTAGAAGGCATAAGAGGAAGCAGATGATTTATAAAAAGGGCAAAACCCACAGCTCTATGTATTTTTTTAATTATTCTTTTCCTTTGAGGATTACTTTTACTTTTTTGCTTTTAATATGTATATATCCTGATGGAAATGTAGTGGTTTTTCTACGACTAAAAAAAATCAGTTTATCATTATTTTTCTTTAAAACTACTATTGCCAAGAACAGAGAATACAACAAACTTTACTTTTAACTGTTAATCTAGGGCAGCTTTGTGTATCTTTAAGATAGCTGAACTCTTCTTCCAGGCTATCACTAATGAAGTAAGAATAGACAGCAGCAATTTTCTGAGTTGATTTTGAGGACTGATGGTTCAGGAACAGTTTAATAATACTCAGTAAAAATAAGTTTTTATGTCCTCACAGACTAGTATAGACAGTTGACTATAGAAAATGCTAATTCACAATTAATTTTTGTAAAATCAGAGAAGCTTTCTATTTGTTTACTCTAAAGACTAATGGAAAGTATAATGTAGCACCCTTCAAAAGGTTAATTACTTTCCAAGGTTAATTACTTTCAAGCTTAAGATTCTCTGCTTCCTTAGTAGTCTGAAGTTGACTGAACTCAGTGGTATTTCTTATACTTTGCTCCCCAAATTATAAAGCCTGTCATGTGGCTTTTCCATTCCAATTGTAAACCATGGATTGTAAAGTAAAATTTCCTGTGCATTGTAAGGGAAGCTCAGAGTGTTGTGTAGAAGACCTGCAGCTGCATTGTGATTGTCCTTCAGGATGTGGTCAGGTTTGCAACTGCAGAAAATGTGCTGTGGAACAGCAGAATGCCTCTTAGAGAAGGTGCATCCTTCAGCTGTGGGTGTGATGTTTGTACATTTCAGAAATAAATCTCCAAGGAGAACCTGCTCTTTGGTTATTGTGTAACATCGTGGAGTTGCATCTGGAAATTCATTTCCTTAGTTAATGTGAGTTATTTAATGTATGCTTTTTGAAAATAAACATTCTCCTACACATTTCCTAGGAACAGATTTTAAAAGTTCTTCAGTGTATGGAGTTCAGTTTATGCACTGAAACAAAGAAATATTGCTTTAATGAAAACAATTTCCATGCAGAATTTATATTTCACCATATGCTTGTTTAATTGTTTTCAATATACAGCTGATCTTTGAATAATGAAATGTGTGATAAGGACTGTATTAAGAGAAAAAAACTGCTTATAATACATCACATTTCCCATGTACTGAACTTGGAGGCCATAAAATCTAAATTAAAAAGCTCTGTGTTTTCAAGCAATGGCATTTCAAAATTTTCAAGCAAAAGCAATTAAAGTCTGATCCTATTATATATCCTATTATCTGAATGCATGTAGGTACATGCTATGTCCTAGTTCCAAAAATTAGATTTAAAATGAAAGCATGCCTTTAAAATTGTTGGAGATCATATAATAAGAAGGAGAGCTTCATAAGATTGCATATCTACATATTAACTTTGTCTGGTGTTGCAAGCATCACAGTATGAATCTCTTTATTCCAGTGTACAGAGCATCTGTATGATTTCTGCATGGTGTGCTAAATAGTGTCAGAATATTGCAGAGATAATAGGTGGAAATTACTTAAGTGCATCTTTTCCCTTTAATGTACCAGGTTTAGTGGGGTTTTTTAATGAGGAAAACACTGGATTGATCACACCATGTATATAAAAATTGCTGGAAATTAAGTTTTAATATACTGAGAAGTTTAGAGTTATTAGAACAATTTTTGTTGCAAAGCAGAAAAGGAAGAAAGTAAACTGCATGCATATCTAAAAATTGGTAAACAAAGCTGTAAAAGTTTAATTGAAAGAAAAGTCATAACATTTGTCAGATAACATTGTTGCCACATAGAATTTTATTCTTAAATGTTGACTCAAAGATAGGGTTTTTTAACAATTCTCTCAGATCAGAAAATTAAAATTATTAATAACAATATTTTCCCTATATCACATTTTGATGAAATGATACTTTTCAGGAATAGGAAAGTTTACAACATG